AATGCCGTTGTTTTCAAAACGGAAAGGCTCTTTCGCCAAACAGAAGATGTAATATTATAGACGAAATCAAATTTAAGATTTTGTTGATGTAGCGATGAACTATTTGTTATGTGCAAGCCAGGAGAAGCAAATGCGAAGGCCTTTATCGTGATATTTTTCTCCTTCTCTAACAATCCTTTTATTTGAAAATTAAAGTAAGACGACGACAAATCAACTTCCCCATCATCCTCCAAAATTATCAATCGCAAAAATGACCCCATCTTCTCCAAGTGAGGAACTTCGGTTGTGTATAAGACGTGTTTTGAATCCATCGTAAGAGAAACTCATTAGATTTTCTTCTATCATAAAAACGAGCGTTACTCTCTTTACAGCATAATAGTCGTAAATAATTAACTTTCACTATGGACATAGTTATCAATAACTTTATTTAGCAAAAACAACAATGGCAACGAAGTGCATGGCACGCATTAAACGGCTTCTATCTATTGCATACGCGCCAACTGTAATCCCGCCCCTTAAGGCCCTTATAGAAACATTGTCATTTGACCCTAGAAACGGTCAATTTTGAACAGTCCAACGTGCTTTGCGAACGCATGTTGTTTTTACGGTTAAACGGAATCGGCTGTATGTGATACCCTGCATGCTTGCAATGTTCTATTTCATGGAAGAAATGAAATGTTGAACTGGCATTAGCAACATAAGTCTCTTCTTTCCACTGCAGGGAATAAGCAAATTTATGTTCCAAAAATAAAAACACATTTTTACTGTGTCAAGTTACACCTTCGGCATTATACACATAATATGCAAACAAATTACAGCATTTAAGATATTTACAGTTTTCAGTTTGGTGACAACCATTCCTTCAGCAACCAACATCATGTAGGGAGTGCATTTCGAGGGTCCCAGTAGATACATAAGTCTTGGAGATGCAATATTATTTCTCGATCTTCTTTGTAAGTGTTAACATTTCCTGCAACATCATCATCCTGTTGATTGTAGGTAAAACGGGAAAAGATAAGTGCATGCATATCAAGAATGACTATATATGATTGATAATATTACTGAAGAAATACACTTACAGTACATCAACAATCTCCCAAAACAGCTCCCATTATACCAAGGACGGATTTTGGTGGAAATAGTGGGGGAGGCGGAAACAAATTTAGGGGAGATGCGAGGTGCAGCGCTAGAGCTTAAGACCCTGTTGCCCCCATGGAAAGTTAGGGCTTAGAACAGGCCAAAGTCAACGATGTGATGTATGCATGTAGCATACATATGTGTCAGTGTATATTAATGAATTATGACTGTACAACTAATCCAATTTTGCCTTTCATTACAATTACTGCAAAGTTTCTTTCAAAACATTGCATTAAAAGGGTACTTGATACAGAGATGAATGGCCATCACTGTTTCAATTTTACAGAAAAACTTTTTTACGAAGTGCAAACTCTATAAGCAACCAAAAAATGTCAAATGTTCACTTTAATCTACAGTGTATCATTAAAACGTTCCCAAGGGGAGGTGCACAAATTCTCAGGAGAGTCACAAAATGATCTCAGGAGAGCTCCCCTCAAAATCCGGCCATGCATTATACATCTGAGGGTTAACTGTATATATTGAATGCCATGCATACAGTCATCTCATATACGTATATCCAACAGTTGTTCGGCATTTCAAGACGAAGAAACGTAACAACGGATATCATATTTCACCAGATATTGAAATTTTATTTCAATTTTCATTATTTATTTGGTACCCGGCCGCCTAATACTGGATATTATTTATATAAGGTTCAGACCTTCTTTACAGGCTAGAAAATAATTTGATTAGGTTAAAAAGTAGGGGTTTTATCATATCCTTACTTCAATGAATGATCACAGGAATGCATGCTTACAATATTTTCAAGATTTTTATGCTTGTTTGTAAATGCAGATTTGACCTTTGAACTAAAGTAAGTGAGGCTTTTGCTACCAATGATGCATGTTTGCTAGACTGTGAAGTTCTTTCCTATTATTTCAAATCAGAATATTATAAACACCATCACTTTTTAACCAATTAAAATGATTACTTAACCCATTGAGTGGCAGCACTCTCCCCTTGACAAGTAAAATTGTCTGGCATCTAATTAGACAGTAAAATAATAAAGTGGGGGCACATTGCCACTTAAAGGGTTAACAAGGTGCATGGGCAGATAGTCTGATTAACCCATTGAATGGCAGTACTCTCCCCCTGACAAGTAACATAATAAAGTGGGGCACATCCGGGCTGCTGGGCACATCGCCACTTAAAGGGTTAACCTTAAATTTATGAGGCCTGAACCTTACATATTTGGATAATAATACCATGAATCTGGCTGGATATTTTTCAACTATCCAACAATCCTGTACATATCCGGCTGGATAGCAAAAACTATCCAACCTATCCTGTATCCAGCAGGATAACAAGAGGACTCTATCCTGTACACCCCTTCAAAGAACATAAAGTAGGTAACATTTAGAAGAGGAAATTGCTCCTTAGGTGTTAATATGTGAAATATGAGCAAGCAGTCCACCGTCGATAAGTCAAATTGTCTAGCGTGAGACATCGGAGTTAAATAGCGCAGTAGTTAAAGTAGGGAGTGTTAGGGAAAATTGCATCTAAATATGTCAACATGAAACATGGGCAAAGTCTAGCTAGACACTTCCCTTGACGAATAGAATTGTCCGGCATTAGGTAAGGTAACATTTAATTTTAACAAAGTGCTGAAAATTAGGCTTATTGGAGTATTATTATTCATGTATTTTTAAAGTTTGAACAAGCAAACTAAGGACTTTAACTGTCCATAAATCAAGTTGCCATATAACACATCAAATTGACATTTTTATATAAACCGACCCACTGAAATATTATATGAATAAATATTAGAAACTTATGAAAGTAGCAGTTGATATTATTAAAGTCAATAAATTTTCTCAAACCATGTTTAGCTGGGACATGCCTAATATGATATGAGGATTGAGTAGATGCCAATTATAAAGCTATATTATTCTATACAAGAAACATTGTTGCAAATTATCTGTCATATACACAGCTATACTATTTGGCATTACAATAAACATTATTTGATATAAGGGCTGAGTCAAATGCAAGCCTTTGTATGAAACTATAATGTATTTATATCACCGTATTAATTCAAATATTGTCGCGGCAAATTCAAATTTTAAGCCGGAACACATGCCTCAAAATTCACGAATGAAAATTGCACATATTTCGTTTCAAAATTGCTCTATTATATAGAAAACATAACAATATTCTTACCTGGATGTTACTCAGTCATCCCTGATGTTTCATCTTCGTTAAAAGGCATCTTCTCGCCTTCAAATATTCATATTTATAGGTGATAAAAATGGAAAATAAAAATTTCAAAAATATGGCGCTGTCAGTCTGATGTCGCTATCCCGGGGGGCTTTGCGAGTGTTGTAGGAAAACTAGGCACCAGCCTGTCCATGTGAAACCGCGCTCATCGATCGTGAGAATTTTCGTTTGCATGTCAAACGAAGTTACACGAAGATACCTACCTCCACAAACACTATAAATATTTTATGTAAATATAGTTTCCACGAACTCGTGAAGAATTTAAAATGAACTCAAACTGCAAAATTTTGACCAGATAAATAAATACAATTGAAATAGAATCAATATCAAAGTTTAGCCACTGTGGTTATTGACTAAACTGAGTCTCCCCTCTTTACGAGTAAAATCTAGTGTTAGACTGATTAAAACAACAAAGGTAGGATGCATTGCAGCTTAATGGTAATTAACAGGAAACATTGCCAGATTTGACCAATTTAGAATTGGTTATGTGATTTGACCAGTTTAGAATTGGTTATGGATTTGACCAATTAAAAATTGGTTATGGATTTGACCAATTTGCAATTGGTTATGGAGATTTGACCAATTAAAAATTGGTTATGGATTCGACCAGTTTAAAATTGATTATAGAGATAACCAATTTAAATTGGTTATGCATATGACCATATTGGTTGGGGATATGACCAATTTTTATTGGTTATTTTGGGTAATTCAACATTGACTGATCAAAAGAAATTGGTTAAATTTACCATGTTAAATTGGTTAAAAATTCAACCAATTATGTATTGGTCGAAATGACCAATATTTAATTGGTCATGGTTGCAACCAATTTAAATTGGTCATTTTAACCAATTTGTTTTTACTGTGTGGAAGACGATTTGCTGAGCATCTTCGTGACATAAAAACAAAATACAAAAGAGACCTGTTGCCAGCCATTCCTTTTTTGACATGAAAATTTGTACCATTCATCTTATCACTAGTGGAAATCATGTTCACATAAAACCCCATGCATGCAGAAAATGCGTGTCCTATTCAAACTTGATGTACTCGTTCACATGGTCTTGAAGAGCGATTGTCTGTCATCTACCTCATAATCTGCCATTACCTTCATTTTAGATCCTATAAAAGCATCACCATATTTTTGCATTTCTTGTATCTTTTAATGGCGGTCCTTATAGAATTTGTAATTTGTTTATATCATTTAGCGCTGAAATGTGGATTGATGTCTGACATGCTTACAGTACATATTGTTTTGATTTTGCAATGGTTACGTTCATTTGATTGGTTAAGTTTATTTGATTCATGTGACTGCCTTTGTAGTTTTACTATAAGAGCAGAGTGTTTCATTTAGATAATTTAGATCTTGCTATACTAACTCTCGCGACGAACGGTTTTTGCTCGAAATGTCCAGGCGTACATATTTTACTCTTTATACCGAGTGGCAGTCGTTTTCTACACTCTCGTATCCACAATTCTGATACCCAAATTTTTCACTATTCTATTATCAATATTGATTGCTAGATAAATTGATGTTGGGCTCAAATAATATTACTTGCTTTTTGCCACTATTTTTGGGCACGATGGGAAGGTAGAAAAATATATGTCCATGCATGGTAATTGTTTTGATATAATTTAATTTGTTTATTTAGATATGTTGACAGACATTTGCTGGTACATGGTCAATTTAATGTTCCACTGCGGCTCGCCCACAGAAAGTGTGGATACAAATATGTATTATTGAATAAGAAGAAGAAACCTATCTACGAAGAGCTAGTTGAATACCAATCGTGGAGAGGCATTGTGAACCGATGCCTTGTAATGGAAAGAGAATATATTACAGAAAATAGTAAGTTAACTGAATAATTTAATGCATGCGAACTGTTGTTACTGAATCGAGGATCGACTAGTGATATTGTCGATAATCAATAGTTTTTATTTGCATGAACTGTATGCCAAATCTATTTTTGTCTTTTCAGAAATCTTCCACAAGTATGATGGATTTATATACCCCAAACCAGGCGGAATATCTTGGGACAGATTTTTTCCATCTGGTTCCGCAATGAATGACAGGAGAGCATTTTTTCGAAAATTTTTCCCGAAGTGGAGCGGGTTTTATGTGAATTCTTTTGATGACAAAATTCAACCAGTTCAAGCACTACAAAATCTTGAATATTTGGTAGAAGGCATGTCCGCTGTTTGGACATCTACCTCTGGATATTCTTATCGTCATACTGTTGATAGTTACAACCTTAAACTTGGGGAGGTAGGCGCAACAAGTAATTAACGAGTCTATAACAGATCGTACAATTTCAGTAATCACATAGCAATACTACAAAATATGTACCAAATTCTATCGGACACATCACATAAATAGGCAACCTTGTTTCCAGGCTGGGGAAGACCCTGGAAACGAGGTTGATGAATGCGGTGCTATATATATCCTGCAAAGATCTTATAAACTTCTGTACTGCTATTGTACAGTGTGTTGAGATATTTAAAAAATTCATGTAAGAGAAAAAGGTTAATTAAATGAGAGAATGTGAAAAATGAAAGAGAAGAGTATGTAAGAGAAAAAATGTAAGAGAAAAATGTAAGAGAAGGTGGTAAGGACGCTTATATACCGAATGTACTTGAAACAGTGTCAAAAATGGTGCATGTCTCATATGCTCGTACCAGTAGTTCTTACTAACTACAAGTATACTTGATGACGTTACCCTCATCCTCATTTGTCGACTTTTTGTCCCACGCATGATGGTGTCTGGATCATTCTGGCCCAGATGCATTTTATAATAATAATAATAACAATAATAATAATAAAAGTCTTTATTGGATGCTCTAATCACACGTTTGAGTTTACATGGAATTATGCGTTCTACAGAGTGTATAAAAAAACTGAACAGATTTGAAATTGCTCTCAATTTCGCAAAGCAGCTCGTGGTATCAAGTTTTTCATATAAATAGATTCCTTGATTACCCATAATGTAGAATAATGAAAACAAATACTCGAACTCAAATGTTGGGTTTTTAATTACTGTACAAAATTTCATACAATTTGTTTTATTTTAAGCCCGGCCTTTGACTATTCATGTTTTCCTAAAAAATCACCCTTGCATGTTTAATTAATGCCTTTACCTAATTTGCATATTACTTACATATGCAAATTAGGCAAAGGCATTAATTAAGCATGCAAAAGGCTGATTTTTAGTGCAAAGTTGACGAAGTCAAGTTTGTACTATTGTGATGGGGTGCAAAGCATTACGTCATTACGTGACTCAACAATGGATCGATGGATATATAGTGTAAACAATTCAATCCGGGGGGAGCGCTTGCAAATTATTTCCGTAGCTTTGCAACGTTCGGCCAGCATATATATTAAAAAATTTTCAAATAGGATTTTATATTTTTATTCACAACGACAGATGTTTTTCTGATTTACATTATTTAGCATTTAGAGAAACAATCATAAAATAAATATCAATTTTAAGATATGAATGGCTAATATGTGTAGGTACTTTCTCGCCCTCCGTGCAACAAAATCAAATGAAACAACACACGTGCTCTGCACTGCGCCAATTTTAATATGGCGGTGTCAGAGGAGTCGCAGTACGATGTCGTGTATAGAACGGGTCGATCAAAGTCAAAGATGCAGTCAATTTTAACCTTGTTTTTGTGCTTATATTATCTAACAAAGAAACAGAGTGATACAGAATATAAAAAAGCGCCTGTGATCATGATCGTTTTGATATAAGTTAGCTTACACATTTTATACTACCTATAATGGGTCATATAAGTATAAACAACTCCCATCTTATATTGCGATATTGTTGTAACTGTAAAATGAAAATTTTGATTCGGAGAACAGGCATGGAAAGAGACGATGGTTCTTTAATGTTTATATTAAATAACGATGGCAGCTAATGTCATCGATCACAGGCTCTGACAACGTCAAACGGGCAAATCTTACTGCATTTATATAAATGCAGTAAGACTAAATTATTACATAAGACGTACTTAGTTATTGAATATTGTTATTGATCAAGCGCTATATACTGTCAATAGGGCCATTTATACGAGCGAAAATAAGCCGCGGCCTAAATAAGCCGCGGCTTAAATAAGTCGCGAACGACTCGTATAAACAGTCGTAGTTTTTCAATGAAGTGAAGTTTAAATTAAAAATGTTTAGTGGATGGATGTGCTCTTTTGTTTTTGTTTTAAGGTCTTTGGGATTGGGAATGCATGAAAATTAACTTATGAAGCGGTTTTGATTAAAATATTTATTCTAAATATTCAATGACCCTGGGGAATCAAATTCTAATATTCCAAGAAAGAAACTTCGCGTGTCCTTTTGATAAATACGCCTCGTTTAACGAAGGACCAAAGAGTTTCCATATGTTTAGAATAATGCAAAGGTAAATAATGCTCGTGAGGTTATACCGGCGGCGTTGGACAGGTCTCTGAAAACGAACGTGTACTTTCTGACTATAGTGTGTCTAAACACAGGTTATTTCTGTATTAATATTTGATAGGCCGTTTTTGGCTAATTCTCGACACTTTTAAAAATGGTTACTCAAGTCTAAACGCAGCTGTCTCGGTCAATATTGCACGAAAATGCACAGGGCAGGGGCGGATCTAGGGGTAGTCAGATTAGTCGCGCGACTAACGTAAAAAAAAATTGGACTAAGGTTTTTGAATTTTTTCCCAGCGCAAACGCTTCTCTTCATTTCTGATCATGCAATCAAAACTACATCAGACTCCAGCATATAAACTTCGATCAGTTTTTGCACATTGAGCCAGCAATTGATTAGTCAAACGATAAGTCAAATAAGCGGTATTGAAATGAAAATTGACTATTCTGCATTTTAGTTCATGTGATTTGATTGGTCAAATTTGCTCAGATTACACATTACAGGCATGTTGATTGGTCAGACCTATTTTGACTAACGATTGCGCAATTTTGACTATTTTGACTAATCTTGCAAATAGATAGCAGCTTCTGATTGGACAATTTGCGCAAAAGAGTTAAAGAACATTTCCTCTGATTGGCCTTCTAATCTTCAATTTGGAAGCATTGTGCACTTGGTAGCTCTGTTGCAGCTCTGTACAATTTTACAAGCAAATTATTTCGCTTAATCTTCTTAGTATATTTGTTGAACTATTTTCGAAATAAAGATTTCGAAAGGGTTATATCGTTATTTGTTACGATAAGGGATGCTTTCTGGTGTTCTGTCGAGAATATTTCAAGCTGATAAATTCGATGGATGCAAGAAAATTGTCTTGGCCGAAACTATGATGTGTTGATTTCTCGTCGTTTATATTTTCAAAGAGAGTAATAAGGGGTGTATGGCAATAAGGTAAAGTGGTTTGAATTTTGAACAATAAATCGTTGAATTGAACGTAAGATTTGCATAATTGTGCGAGGTTATAGGTCCAAAGTTTCATATACTGCATACATATTCATTTATATGTGTATAAAATTAAAACACCTCAAGTGGCAGAAACTTGATTACAAATATTTGATCATGTTGGATAAAAAATATTTATTGTGTACATGCTTTATAGAGTATTGATTGACTGATAATAGCTCTACCAATGTACTTTATAAAGTCATAAAGATAATAATATAATCTTTGGTTATATTTTTAGACCTAATGCAATTGGCAATTACCTGTATAGCTCTGTTTCGATCCTAAAGCATTGACAGGTACCAATGACCTATAAATTTGACCTTGATAGTTTAAATGTTTACAGTGCAAGTGTGAAAGGTCTATACAGCAGGTCACTTTTTATACAGTATAAGTGAAGAAGCACTATGTTTGAAGACTAATTAAATTAAATGACTTGGCTTGGTCATGATGCAAATTCACCAGGATATTATTCCTAACATACTGTAGGAAACTTTATTAATAAATTTTCTGGAACATGAGGCTAAAGTTAAATATATCGGCTTGCAAAAAGACCACTCTCGCCTCCAATATCAAAAACCTCACTAGCTTGGATACAACACTGACATGAGAAAAAACTTCCCGGGGCATGAGAAAAACTTCCTTCATCATCAACCAAACTTAGCCTTTCAAGATCACCACCTTAATTCTCATAATCTCCCCCCTCCCCAAACATTGGGGCTTTGTAGACAAAAGCTGATGCCAAATATCGGTCTGATCTCATTGGCTTGAGATGGGTCCATTGCATCTTGAACAGTTAAATTTTTCAACAGACCAGGGCTTGAAATAACAATTGATTACCAATCAATAATCAGCAAGAAATTGCTTATGATAGCGGAAAAGCAGGATTTTCTACCTAAAAAAGCAGCGAAAGTCATGACTGCCGATCACCATGATCAATCACCATGATCAATCACCATGATCGGGAATTTTGGGAATGTTATTTCAGGCCCTGACAGACAAACACCATGTTGATAGTATATGTCTATATGCAGTATGTAAGCATAGTGTAAGAATAATAGAATAGTGTGTTAAAAACCTTGCCAATTATTTCAGATAACTAGATAAGTAAAGTAATAGTCATTTGTAATGAATCTTTTGTATTTGAATTTACTGTGATTAAATTAAATTATGTTTAATTAAAATGCCAGGTAAAATAAGCTTGTTTTCAATAAAAGTTGGCTTCCAATGAAGCTGCAGCTTTGAGGCACCATTTCACTTGTGATGTTATACATTTTCATAGTGGACAGTATATAACAAGATGATGAATTTAATTAGATTAGATATAGGTTAGTAATAGGGGGAATGGGGAAGGGGCTAAAGGGAAAAACTGGGCAATTTCACATATTGTCACCCATTTTTAACCAAGCTCCTTTTGCTATGGTGAAAGGTGTGAGGGTGGGTTTATGGCACCTTAAAACCAGATTGCTCATTTCTAGTGTTAGCTTCCCCAGTATTTTCTGACACTTCATCAACAGAAGAATTTCTTGACATTTGACACATTCGTGCGAAGTGGTTTTTTCTTTTACATTTGTGGCAAGGTTTTCCAAATGCAGGGCAAGATGTTACTGCATGCTTAGTTCCACATCTATTACAATCAAATAGCGACTCACCTCGAGTGGGTTTCTTTACGACGTGAACTTCCGGTTTACTTGGATCAACATTTTGCTTCCGAAGCTCTTTGAGCTGTTTCGCACTTTCTTCCGCTGCTCGGCACAAACTTGCAGCTTTTTCAAGAGTGAGTTCAGACGATTCACGAAGCAATCGTTCTTTTAATCGAATATCACTCACCCCAAATAATATACGATCTCGAATCATGCTGTCCGTTTGATCACCAAATTCACATGACTTAGCTCGTGTTTTCAACTCCGTTATAAATTGGTCGATTGTTTCACCTTCTTGTTGTTTGCATTCCCAGAATTTATATCGTTCAAATACAGTATTCTTTCGACAATTTACATAATCTTCAAATTTCTTCTTCAACACGCTCAACTTATCACGATCCTCGCCCTCGCCAAACGTAAACGTGTTGTAGACTTCGAGGGCTTCATCACCGATGAGATGAAGTAAAATTGCACACTGGACTTTTTCCGTTTCTTTGACTTTCCCTGACGCGGTCAAAAACAACTCGAATCGCTGAATCCATCGCCTTCAGTTCTCTCGCAAGTTTCCCGTCAAATTCAATGCACTCGGGGGCTTAAACGTTTCCATTTTAGGGTGTTACCGAAATTACCGACCATCAAGGAATCCGCAGAAGAAACAGAGATTGAGGACCACAGGGCGGAGCTTATCCGCCTGTCCAACGCAGGGGAGTTACCCAGTCTGAAAAATATCTCAGGAAAGTGTCCGACAAAGTCATTGCAAAAGTCAGGAAGGACTACATCATCGCACAAAGGGAAAAGGCCAATATCCTGCTGACGGAAGCTCTGATTGATAAATTTTCCGGTCTTATGGAAGCCATCAACATGGTGGACAGTGGGGAAGAGCTGAAGACGAAATTAAATCAGGACAAACTGTTCAGGAGTGATGTTAGAAGTGTGGTGGGAAAGCTGTCCCCGTACATACCCTATTTGGGGATCGTTAGCGGTGGAGTGACGACCGTAAATAATGTTTACCGAAGAGCACCCGGACCACCACCTTCCGAAGAAGAACCAAAGACCGACATTGACAACTAAGTATGGAAACTTTCCAGACCCTTTGGGTTTGGAAAAACTGTGATCCCTAAATATTTAAGTGCTGTACTCCGGTGCATGAGTTGTCCGTTTTCAATTCCGATGGCACCGTCAGAAAGAACGAACATATGACGTTCGCAGTTGTAGCTTTTTTCGTCATTTCCACCAGTATTCCGGACTGAGTGTTCTGAATTTTAGCACCGTTTCCAAATGTACTGACATCATTTACGGTTCTGAGATCGATGAACAGCGCGAACTTTTGTCTTTGAAAAAGTTGGTTAGTGTTTGGTGGCTGATTTCACCGGTGCCGAATAATCGTCTTGCCTCTTCGTACAGTCTTGTTTTCGGAATGCTTTGACTGTAGACTGCGTGGGGCACACCTTCCACGGTTACTCTAACCTTTTCGATGTTGGGGTAAACATATTCTTCACTGTCTGTCCTTGTCTTGTTCGTAAACAACATAACGATGGCTTTCATGCTTCTGCGTGGCACGTTGATCGTTTCGTTGATAATGATGGAGTCCATACTCCATTCCGTCTTTTTCATGAAGATGACATGTTCGAAAGGCAGCTTACGTCCGACGTTGTACTGACTTTCCACTTTTCTTGCCAATTAGATGTTGTCGATGAATTCGTACTCCAATTCGATGTCTTCCAGGGTATACCCTTCCACATTTTCTTCACTCTGTGCGTTCATGATTTCATCTGCTGCAGGTAGGGTTATGACATACTGTAGATCGTTTGCCATATATAGAGTCCATGGTCTTTTAGAATTTTACCGATTCGGATTCTTTGTTTTGTTCCGAATACTTCGAACAATGCGGTGGCATCCACATCGTCGTTTGGTGCATCGTCTTTGGATATTTTTTTTCCTCGTGGCTTCGCTTGCGATGCCATCCTCCATCATGTCGTCACGCTGTTTCTTGTGTAACCATAGGTCCTTGTAGACCTCCAACAAGCTTTCTCCACTGTTATCATAGACTTTTTCTCCTGCGAGGCAAATTTCCAATCTCCTTTGGAGTAGTTTACCTAAGTTGTTTTTGAACCAGGATTTTGTGTTACTGTTCTTAAAGTCGAAGACCAAAGCCATACTGTCCGGTACGAAAACGGAGCCGGCTTTTAGCTTTGGACTATTAACGTAGATTTCTTCTCCATGTTTGGCAGAGTTGGGGTTGAGGGTTAGGACGTGTCTGGTCCTATCTCCGGTGATTTCTGCCTTGTTCATACGTCGGAAATCAGGCATAAGTTCAGCTTTTCGGTTCATTATTTTTATTATAGTACCTTTTATATTAGGGCTTACTTCTTTTTACGTCTGTTTTGGAGGTACCTAAATATAGCTCCGGCAATCACAATCGCTACGATCCACAAATTCCGGGCAAGAAAGGAAAGACTCTTGGCTCCCCAACTTAGGATCGTACTTAACATATTTAGAATAGGTACCAGGTTTGGCATTGCAGCTTTTGCGAACTTTGCCAACGCTTTTCCGGCAGCTCCAAGTCCATTAGCTGCTCCAAAGGAGGATATTAAGGTTATCCCGGCGTGCATTGCTAACAAATTATATTATCTATATAAACCGGTCCAGCATGCTTTGCGCGTCTCATGTAGATTTCAAAATGAACGCCATAACGGTGAACAAACAGGGAATAGGCTTTCTTGAACCGACAGATATCTTGAATCTTTATTGTGTTGATTTTCAATTTCTACTCGACTTTACTATTACTTCGCTGCCGTTTATGGAGCTAGAACTCGTTGGTGGACATGTTGGCTTTCCTGACAAGTTACACGAGAGGAGAATTGTACTTTTTCCAAATGGGGATATAATTCGTAACCTGTCGCAGCAAATTTCCCCATGTGCAATCGAAGTCGTTACTTGTTGTCATATCACGGTAAGATGTTTACTTTTTATCAACTATATTTCTGGTGTTTTGGTATTGTAGTATGGATTTTAGCCTTTTTATTGCCTCTTGAGAATCCAATTTCAATTGATAATTAATAATAAATAATAGTAGCAATATTTTCTCTGGGGTTTAATATAATATGCATTTGGTCCCCATGGCCCATGGTGATTATATATTTGTGCATAAACAGCTCAAAGATGTACGTGTATTATCTTAATGTGCGATGTGTGTGGACCAATACTAGGGTCATGTATCAGTCCAATCCTGTCCATTCTGACCCCCCATCCAAGTGTATACACCCTTGTGTATTTGTAAGCTTATTTATGCTTGGCCGTGCAAGGGGGAGATAACCCCTTGTAAAATTTACTCAAAATCTACTTGTCAGCCTGGGGCTATTGACATTAGAAAATCTCAGTGTTTATATGATGGTGGCCATTCTGATGATGGTGGCCATTCTGATGATGGTGGCCATTCTGATGATAGTGAAATAATTGAACATGCTGTCAATGATCACAATGATAGTTCAGTAACTGATGATGGACAAGTGAACATGGAACACTTAGATCATGTTGCAGAACATGAAGAACAACAATATTCAGAAAAATTCAAGCTGAAAGGAACTAGTTTTCATAATCACTTTCAAAGCGCATTACGAAATTTTAAATTCTGTCAACTGAGTGAACTAGAACCTCCAGCACTATCACTACATTTTGAGCCTGTAAATAAACGGGATGAAAATGCGATTGTCATTGCAGAAATTGATGGTACTACTGATCCTATAGGATATACCTGGTTCTTAATTTAATTTTAATTTTAATTTAACAAATTTTATTTGGATCGATATTCACAATTTTTTAACAAACAAAAGAAAATAACAGAACAAATATTACATTAAGTTAAAATAACCTAGATATCAAATGTAGATCCAAAAAGGTAAGGTACGAACGGGACTCTTATAAAAGGTCCCATGCAGGGCACCCACCTCCAAAATAGTAATCATGATAACAAATATAACATCACGAACTCAAACTCGCTAAAGGATTCAGGCAAGCAAAAAATTAGATGGAATAGTTAAACTCGAAATTCAAAATAGTCACCGCTTCAGAGAGTTTGAGTAAACGTGGCTAAATTTCCTGAAACTGGACGTGTCAAGTAAACTAAGAGACAGATTGAACATGCATGTAAAGGCAAAGGCCAGCTTCCACACAGGAAGATCCTCCGCTGAACAGAAACGGCGGGAGAGTTTTCATTGTGTTAATTTCACGACGTCCACGTCGTGAAAAGAGACACGGTGTATTCTGGTTCAAGAGTGGAAAAGATAACCAAGGCACATTATTGACATCAAATACCTAATATACAGATGTCAGAAATTAATAGACAGTACAATTTTTATGTTGGTGGTTTTGTCTATGTCCCAGTTGTGTCCATAACAAAAACAGGAAGATGACCACCGAACTCTAATAAATATCGTTATAATTGTACATTTTAATTTTACAGAACATTTTCACTCTTTTGTAGTTTTGTGACAACAAGTACCTTTCATGATTATATATTTAAACATTATTTATGTTAATTAACTTTGTTCATTTTCTATGATAGGGGGTCATGATAGGGGATAGACAAACTTCGTGGCGATGTAGGCGTTTCCCAATTGTAGGACAGTTACGGGATGGTAGAAATGCTCTCCCTGGTGCAAATATAGAAGTATCCTCCCTCCTGTTGACTTTCAAACGATGCAGGCGTAGTGGATGGTGTCTTTCATCAACATTCTCTTCAACATTTGGTTTATGATCAAATGATGGGAGATCTTATTTGATGGGAGAGTTCAACTCTTTCTTCTGATGGGAGATTTCAACAAAGGTTTCCCGTGAAAAGCCACAAATATTATTTGTTGGTCTATAAATTGAAGATGCACACTTAAGCTCTACTGCCATTACATACTGTACATGTAAAAATGTACAATATTGTTTCAATTTACAAAAGATGCCACAGCCAATGGAAAAATTCTAAACTTGGCTCAAATTAAAAAATCACCACCACTATTCTATAACTCTTCAGGAGTTCACAGATAGCTGTAGCTATATGCATAAATTACCATGTACATTCATTACCTTTATCACATATCATAATTTACAAGAAATAAAAACATAATATTTCATTTATACACAATACTTTTTAAGACTGTGTAATTGTCGTTCTCCCACATTGTAGTCTTTGAAGTGTCGTCTCCTTTAAGTAAATCAATCATCGCCATACCTAAAGAAAGTACATTAAATTAAGTTACAATCCAAGTAATGCCAATCAAAACATTTTATCTTAAAATTTTGTTCCAGGCGTAAGCCCGGGGCGAGGGTACTAATTCCGCTCGGCTATTTACACCCGGGGAAAGGAAAGCATTACCTTTATACAAGTATGAAGTTCATCAAACATCACGGGCGTCTGGCTATGATCCAAGGGTGGTCCTGCCACTGATCTCAAAAACATGGCGGACTTTCATGAAAATGACGAACACTGATTGGTCAAATTTAAATTTTGCTTTATGATGACTGCATTGCGACATAATAATAACATACATTATTTGAAAATATATCTGCTTTTCAATCTGATTTTTATACGGGGTTTTTTAGGAAAAGGAAAACCAGCAAGAAGAAGGGAAAAGGCTAAAGACTTGCTAAAAGAAGCGAGCAAAGACTCCAACGTTTGCCACAAATAAGAGACTGAAAAACGTTATTCAGAAACCCGAAAAATCGTTATGAGACATGCAGTCAAACAGTTCATTTGTTCATACGGAAACAAAAGGTTGGGGCAATAGATTGTTGGAAATCGTAAAACGCAATGAACGGTAATATAAGTTTGTTTTAAATATTGATGCATTTTTTCCTTTATAATTGCTTGAAAAAGTGATCGTTGCGTATAATGATAAAAGACAGCATATCATTTCAGTGTATGTTTATTCATTATCCTTTTTTATTATATTAAAACTTTAAATAAAGAGGAAAGCAAAGTTATTTTCATGCGACGATACGAGAATTTGAAATAATTTTATTTCCAACTCAAAGTTTATTGATATAAAAAGTTAGTTTAATTTTAAGAACATTTTAAAACGTTTTGCGAAGCGTTTGTGGTTGAATTTCACATAAATTGAAGTTTATATTACGCATAATAACGTATAATAACATACTAACATTTTTATTTGGGGGGAAATTGATAACTGATTTGTGATTAAAAGTGATATTTTTAGGGGATTTTTTAATTTTAAAAACATTATTAATAAAATTATCGTGTTACCATGACAACTCTTCAAATACGTCATGTTCGGAAAATATAATGGTTTTACCAGCAAGGCGAGGGGTTTCTACATGCATGTATTTCTAGCAATATTTCTAGCATTAGTTGATTGAAAAATATGTGTTACATATTTACTATTTAGTGTTGCATGAAAAGTGAAAACCTAAGAGCAATGTATTTAAGTACAGTAATTAAGTACATTACTATACTATAGTATGTAGTAACTTTTTGATTATTTTGATCGTGTCTTTTGTTTTTGGTGGAACAGCTTAGTATGGTTTTTTTGGTTCGTTAACTTCCTTTCTGGTCTTCCTTCTGCGAGCAGCTGGGAAATTTGTTGCGCATGCGCCAGATTTCCATTGAAACCTGAAGATTTCCCCGAAGAAATAACGAGATGTTCGTGCTTGTTGTATATTTTTAAATGCCTGTTTAATCTTTATAATTTTTTGCTCGAGACAAAGTAAAATGTACTCTACGTTTCCAGTGTATAGAATATCTCGTTTGTGTTTGAACAGCAATAGAATATTATAAACTTGACACAAACAAGAAGACATTTGACACGCTAATTCTGCACTGAGTCATGCCTGCCAATCGTCGCAAGCTTGACTGCCTTGTCAAAAGCAAAACAAGTACGAATTTGAGTTCAAACAGAAAGACGTTCAATGTTAATACCACTAACATATATTCTATAGAAATACGGGTGGTTTAAAATGTTTTCAATTGAATTTTTAAAGCTTCTATCTATCGACATGATAATCAAACTGTGAAAATGCCGGCTTTTGTTGACGCTTGCGAATGCAGAATAACTTCCCGTAAACAGAGCATTTCTACACAAAACTCTCGCTTAGTCTTCTAATGCACTTGTATGTTCGGTTCTACTAGTTAAACAAGGAAAATATCCAAGAAACTTGGTAAATTATCGTTGTTATAAAAACATTTCAGTGCTGAGGCAGTACAAGGACTTAAGGCCAAGGGCAAGGTCAAGTTGTCGATTTCATTACATTTTCAGTAGTTCGAATGTTTTCGAACTCTTATCTCATACAAGAGCAGTAAACGCACGCATTTCAAAGCGAAATTAGACGCAAAGGGGCAATTTTTCAGCAAAATTCATTGTTAAATTATGTTTCCTATGTGCCTTGGGAGCAAAAAAATATGATTTTAAATTTGGAGATTTCGGTAAATTTTTTTGCAATTTGGCCTGGTATTGCACCCTACCTATGTACTAACTGTGCTGTAAAAGTAATCAAATATACTATTTTTAATTTCCTTTCATTGAAAGGATCTAATATTGTGGACTAAACTAAATTTTAATCAGCATACAAGGCTGCAAACAACAGCCAAGAATTAGCTGGGTAGTTTGCAAACTTTAAAAATAATTGGACCTCAAACTTTGATCTCCAGAAGTAAACAAATAGATAATACTGGGAACATAATCCAAGTTTTGATCACGAGGGGCAATTTTTAGATGTAAAAAAACTTGTTTAAATTACATATCAAACTAAGCCAAAACAAAATTTAGTAGTAATTTTTTGGTGAAATCGTCAAAGTTTTTTGCTATCCGCCCACGCTTCTACACCCCCCTCTCCCTGGATATTCTGCCTCAAAAACAGTTTTCTGCAGAAACTATGCTTTTTTATCGGAAAAATGTTTACTTTTCTCAAAAAATACATTATAAACACGGAAACCTTAAATATTTAAATAATTTTCATACCTTTTTGGGATTGAAAAAAAGCAAAATTTGATTCATTATCCCACTTTTTAAAATATATGTGATAAAGTTGCTTCAAAATCACCATCACGCAGTAGCATGTTTATTTACCCTCGTCCTTTTGACTGAATAAAGTTTATCGTTTTGAAAAACTATTTGTTTTATAGCTCTTGGTTACCGGTTTACGTTTATGTCGATTTTGGCACCCATGATACCAACAAATTGTGGTAATCCGCGAATGAAAATGGACATTCGAAGAGCACAAAAGCCAACTCCTAGCTATGTAACTTTATCGCCTGAAGTTTGAATCAATCCAAAATTAAAATGCTGTTAATGTAGATGCTTTCCATACTTGAGATGTTAGTGAAGTTTTTCCTACAATTTAATTTCCTTTATCGCCGTCTTAAAAATGCAAAATCATCAATTGAAATTTCACTCGTGTTGTTTTTTCAAATTTTCGAATTTTTGTAAAATATCGCGTGCGCCAGCAATTTCTCTGCACAGCGACAACAAATTTCCCAGCTGCTCCTTCTGCGTATATATTTTCATATTTATTATTTCTTGTATGCAGTAAAACTTTATTAAATTAAATTAAATTAAATTAAATTAAATTAAATTAATAAAACAAACCGAGCATCAAACAAGCAAATAACTAGGGATCCAAGGATAGTGTAAAGTTTCAAATTGAAAAAGACACTGCAAGAACTATATAGAGTCCAGAGGCGTAGCCAGGCCAGAGCCGGGGTGCCCGTCCCCAATGGCAAAATTTTGGGGCCCTCCTGATAAAATGTATTGTATAAAAAACGGAATCCTTGATTATATAGCTACATGTTGAGGCCCGTCGGAAAATTGTCAATGTTGTCGGAATCTTCGTGGTGAAGCATCGGCAAAAGTGATACGGAAATCGGGAAAGTGCTACGAAAGCAATTGTAATGTTATTGTTTTGAAATATTTTTACCAAAAAAAAGTTGGCGACGGCGGGGGGTGGGGGAGAATTTAAAATGTGGTCCTGAAAATTTTTTTGCCCCACCTGGGTTTTTGCGCCCCCTGACCAAAAATCCTGGCTATGCCCCTGATAGAGTCGCCGACAACCTAGAACAGTAAGAGCAGGCACCGGCTAGAGCAGGCATGGGCTGGAATAGGCACGTTATTCAAAATTGTGGATTAGAACAACGTTAAGAGATAAACAATTCCTTATCACTCCCTTCGTTACTCGTTTATTAAATGTTGAATTGCAAGAGCTCCTATTTGGGCATGACGACTATCTGTTGTGTAATTAAAGTTGATGGCTTACACTACGAAATAAATGTAGTGTCTAGCATAATTAGCATAATGAAGATTAATTATAGACCACGAGGAAGTAAGCAAGATGGCGATACAGCATGCAACTGTAATATATTAAAGTTCTGTTAGAGATTATTTGAGAAAGTATAGATAACAATGTTATAGACAACATTATCATTGGCGACGAGGATCGTTTTAAATACAAGTACCTCAAATATCAACTAGCTTACCAGAATTTGCTTCTTATGACGCCGAGAATCGGGAAAATATCGAAATTAGATCGCAACGATGGTCGATGCGATTCGAAAATCTACTGATTGCACTCGATATAAAAGACAAGAAAAGAAAACGAGCGTTATTACTAGTATACTATATCGGTGAAAGTACTCTAAATATCTTTGAAACACTGCCAGAGACAGGCACAGAAGACGATTATGACAAAGCGCATCAAGCTTTAAATGAACACTTCAAACCTCGCAAGAATACATCGTTTGAAATATTCAAGTTCAGAAAAACAAATCAACTTGTTGACGAAACTCTCGATCAATACCATGTACGACTCGTCCAGAAAGCTAAGTACTGTGAATTCTCAAACTTAGATACTGAAATAAAAGCTCAAATTGAGCTAGGGACCAATTTCAAACAACTTCGACGATATTCTTATTCTGATATCTTTATTCCACACGGGCATGCAGCAATAGAGTTTATTCTTTTCCTGGTTCGGCAACTTTTCAGCAATTAGGCTTGCGATTTTTTCACTTTTCCACTTCAGATGAATGGAGGAGATCTGGCCGTCGTTGCTTTTCGTAACGCGAGCGGTGTTAAAGCATTTAATTTGGCCGTCTGCAATCACAACAGTATTTCCATCTTGATTGAGGTAGAAATACCCTCCGGCAAATATTGCTGCAGATTCATAAGTTCCTGCACTTGCTTTTGCCAGTATGTTGCAGTCGCTGTCAAAGACCACAAGAGTAAACTGATCACCGCGTAACGAGATCCCAATCATTTGATCGTGTTTGTTGCAGGCCATGATGGGTGTGTAGCCATATGGGTTATACTTCGTGATAACTTTTACTTTTGTTCCAGTTGGTTTAGAGAGTCCCACAGACTCGGAGCAATAGCCATCATTATGCGAGCCGCTCCAGTTATTTTCTTCCAGAAAAGGATGTTGTGGAATTGTTGCATCGGAAAAACGAGTTGAAGTCATTCTCAAGTCGGCGTAGTTTCTAATAGAGGAAAGATATGAAGCAAATGAACGTCAAACTACATCAGTTTATGGTAATGCCCCAGTCATTGCCTTCCAAGGGAGAATTTGCTACTATTTTCGTAAAAAATAACAGAAAACCCTCGGTCACTGAGACCGTTTAAAAAATATTAATAAAGCGCCTTGTTTTCAATGTGGTGGAAATCCTAACGCCCTGTTACGAATTTTGCTAACATTACAAGTGCAAGATGGCCATGGAAGTAGTATATTTATGCACGTAGTAATTGCATAAATATAGATAGATAGATAGATAGATTTTATTTTGACACGCTAACTACGTCAATTAAAAACATTGATTTCCACGAAGGGCGTGTGTTCAAAAGTTATTATATATAAGTGTTGTTATGACTTTTATGGAATCAAATAAATGAAAATAGAAATAATCTAACTGTTCCAATTGACAAAATTGACAATATAGACAACTAACAAAACATATAGATAACTGTTTACAATAAAGGATATATATATGTATGTATAAATATATTATTTAGAAACATGAGCAGCAATTTTTCTTTCAAATAGAGACTGGGACCTAATTCCTCTGATTTCTTTAGGCACTGAGTTCCATATTTTTGCCCCATTAAACATAAAACTCTTTTTCATGCTATTTGTGCGGGGCTGTGGCAAAACGAGTGTTGTTTCATTGTCACGGAGACAGTAATGCGTATTCTCATTCTTGTAGGTAGAAAGGTCTGTTAGGCTTTTAGGCCCAGACATATTCAAAATTTTGAACATTAATTTTGCCTTAGCTTTAGTTCTTTGTACTTTTAGTATCTCCCATCCTAACGAATTTAATGCGATTTGGGCATTAACTTCGTTACCCATGTCCATAATAATTCGAGCGCATCTATTTTGAAGCTTTTGTAATCGTTGTGATTGAGTTTCACCAAAAATGTCCCACACTTCACAACAATAAGTAAAGTATGGTTGTACAATTGCGTTAAATATAGAAACAAGTGTATCACGGTCAACAAATTCTTTTAGTTTTCTAATAACAGAAATGGCCGATGTGATTTTCTTACAGATACTCTCAGTGTTACTTTTCCAAGAGAGATGCTGATCAACTATTACTCCTAGTGTCTTGCATTCGTTCACTTGTTTAATTGGTCTGTTTTCAATCATTATGTTTAAATTTGAATCTGAAACAGTATGCACTAGAGATCTTGATCCTATGAGCATAAATTCAGTTTTGGCAATGTTTAGACTCAATTTGTTCGCGTTTAACCACATTCTGAGGTTTTCCAAATCAGAGTTCACTGCATTTACAACATCATCAATTGTACCACCGGAAGCAGTGAGGTTTGTGTCATCTGCAAAAAGTCTTGGCTTTGTCCTATTTAGGCTTTCAGATAAATCATTTATATATATTAGGAAAAATAAAGGACCTAAAATGGAGCCTTGAGGAACACCACACTTAACTTTGTGTTCAGACGAGACAACACCATTTACTTGGCATTTTTGGGTGCGATCAGTAAGATATGATCTCAGCAACAAATGTGCCTTATCTTTAATACCGTAAATTTGCATTTTCTCAAGTAGAATTTCGTGATCTACGGTGTCAAATGTTTTTTTTAGATCTATAAAAACTACTAAGTTAAACATTTTTCGATCCATGTTAACATACCAACTATTTGTTGAATCTAAAAGGGACGTAGCGGTGGAGTGAAACTTTCGAAAGCCAAATTGGTTATCAGAGAGAATTTCGTTTTTAGTTAAATAATCATACAGCTGGTCATAGAGTAATCTTTCCATGATTTTGCTTATAACTGGTAGTATTGATATTGGCCTGTAATTACCAGGAATATTACGATGACCACTTTTATAAAGAGGATAAAACTCTAGCTACTTTCCATTCATCTGGAAAGCTGCAAAGAGTAATACTTTGATTAAAAATATATGTAAGTGTAGCAGAAATAACTGGTGATGCTAATTTAAGAATTTTACTGGAAATTTTGTCAATACCACATGCTTTTTTACAAGACAGCCCTCTTAACAGATCAAAAATTTTGTTTACCGCAATTAGTGTAAATGCAGTGAACTTGGATTCAGAACTTTTAGTATACTTTTGAAAGTCACAGCTAGATTCATCCAACTTGCTTGCAAAATTTGGTCCAACATTTGCAAAGAATTCATTTAACCCTTCTGCAATCTCTGTAGGATTTGTTAATTTAGATTCATTAATAATTAGTTCATTTATAATCGTGGGTTTCATACCCTTTCCGATAAAACTATTAATAGTTTTCCAAGCCTGCTTTGGATTGCACTTTTGGTTAGCAATCTTTTTAGAATAATAGTCTGTTTTGGCTTTCCTTAATTCGGTATTTGTTTGATTTCTGGCTTTTTTATAATTGAGCCAATCAGATTCTTGTTTAGTAATAACTGCTTTTCTTTTCAATTTATCTCTTTCGGTTATGAGCATTTTAATTTTGCTTGTAAACCAAGAGACACTTTTTGATATATCTTTTTGTTTTGAAGTGGTGCATGCTTATCCAGGACCTCTAAAAAGACTTTTTTCCACATCTCCCACATAGTATTTGGATTATCTGGAAAATAATAAATATGATCCCAGGGTTGATTTTGCAAATCCTTAAGAAAATTTAGATCATTGAATTTCTTCATGTTTCTAATTTCAACAACATTGACATTACTGAAAAATTTATTTTTCTTATTGCGAAAATCACGCTATGATCACTAATTCCAGTATGTATTACCCCAGAGTCAGAAATTTTCTCTGGTTTATTTGTAATAAAATGATCAATATATATATATATATATATATATATATATATATATATATTTATATATGTTGTAGTAATTTCATAAAGAAAACATTGCAGCGGACCGACAGCTACCATGCATTAGATTTTGATGCGGAATTTTTCAAAATAATAATAATAAATGAAAAAACTAGTGGAAGAGGATGAACGAGAATGCACGTTGCCAGTTGGCGACAAAGCGTTCATTATAACACAATAAAGCAATCTTTCGTGAGGATTTGCTGGGGTTTTCATGAATTGAAGTGGTTTTAGTTGCGCATGCATAGAAACGAAAACATATAGAAAGATAGCAGCCCGCCAAGTTACGAACGCTACCGAATGTTTATCAACGAATCTGAATGCATTTTCATCCCTAAAATCGTCATTGTGCTGTTCAAGGTTTCGCCTGGCGTTACAGGTAAGACGTTTGTTTTGATATGAATAATTTATTATTCTCTTAGGTTTGTTCTCATTTCATGATCAAAAAACGTAATTTCATAACAGAAATTAAAAAACAAAAAGACTGTGCGATTATATATTGGTTTATAGAGGCAATGGAAAACTTGTAAAAAACTCGGCTATCGCCTCGCGTATTAGACGAATCTTTCGTGCCTTTATTAATCCTAACCAAAACTGCAACCCTAACACTATGTTAACCCTAACCCTAAGTTAAACCTAACCCGAAGTCAACCTAACCCTAAGTTAAGCCTAACCCTAAGTCAGCCTTAACCCTAAGTTAACCCTAACCCTAAGTTAACCCTAACACTAAGTGCAAACCTAACCATAAGTCAACCCTAACCCTATGTTAAGCCTAACCGTAAGTTAACCCTAACCCTAAGTTAACCCTAACCCTAAGTTAAACCTAACCCTAAGTGCAAACCTAACCCTAAGTCAACCCTAATCCAAAGTTAAACCTAACCCTAAGTGCAACAATAACCCTAAATTAACCATAACGCTAAGTGAACTCTAATCCTAAGTTAACCCTAACCCTAAGTCAACCCTCACCCTAAGTTAACCCTAACCCTAAGTGCAAACCTAACCTCAAGTTAACCCAAACCCTAAGTTAACCATAACCCTAAGTGCAAACCTAACCCTAAGTCAACCCTAATCCAAAGTAAAACCTAACCCTAAGTTAACCCTAACCCTAAGTGCAAACCTAACCCTAAGTCAACCCTAACCGTAAGTTAACCCTAGCCCTAAGTTAAACCTAATCCTAAGTGCAAACCTAACCCTAAGTTAACCCTAACCCTAAGTCAACCCTAACCCTAAGTGCAACAATAAACCTAAGTTAACCCTAACCCAAAGTTAACCCTAAACCTAAGTTAACCCTAACCCTAAGTCAACCCTAACCCTAAGTTAGCCATAACGCTAAGTCAACCCTAACCCTAAGTGCAACAATACCCTAAGTTAACCCTAACCCTAAGTCAACCCTAACCCTAAGTGCAACAATAACCCTAAGTTAACCCTAACCCTAAGTTAACCCTCACCCTAAGTTAACCCTAACCCTAAGTGCAAACCTAACCCCAAGCTAACCCAAACCCTAAGTTAACCATAACCCTAAGTGCAAACCTAACCCTAAGTCAACCCTAATCCAAAGTTAAACCTAACCCTAAGTTAACGCTAACCCTAAGTGCAAACCTAACCCTAAGTCAACCCTAATCCAAAGTTAAACCTAACCCTAAGTTAACCCTAGCCTTAAGTTAAAGCTAACCCTAACCCTAAGTTAACCCTAACCCTTAGTGCAAACGTAACCCTAAGTTAACTCTAACGCTAAGTCAACCCTAACCGTAAGTTAACCCTAGCCCTAAGTTAAACCTAATCCTAAGTGCAAACCTAACCTTAGTTAACCCTAACCCTAAGTCAACCCTAACCCTAAGTTCAACAATAAACCTAAGTTAACCCTAACCCAAAGTTAACCCTAAACCAAAGTTAACCCTAACCCTAAGTCAACCCTAACCCTAAGTTAGCCATAAGGCTAAGTCAACCCTAACCCTAAGTGCAACAATAACCCTAAGTTAACCCTAACCCTAAGTTAAACCTAACCCTAAGTTAATCCTAACCCTAAGTTAAACCTAACCCTAAGTTAACCCTAACCCTGAGTTAAACCTAACCCTAAGTTAATCCTAACCCTAAGGGCAAACCTAACCCTAAGTCAACCCTAACCCTAAGTCAACCCTAACCCTAAGTTAATCCTAACCCTAAGTGCAAACCTAACCCTAAGTTAACCCTAACCCTAAGTTAACCCCAACCCTAAGGGCAAACCTAACCCTAAGTTAACCCTAACCCTAAGTTAAACCTAACCCTAAGTTAACCCTAACGCTAAGTTAACCCTAACCCTAAGTTAATCCTAACCCTAAGTCAACCCTAACCCTAAGTTAATCCTAACCCTAAGTTAAACCTAACCCTAAGTTAATCCTAACCCTAAGTTAAACCTAACCCTAAGTTAACTCTAACCCTGAGTTAACCCTAACCCTAAGTTAATCCTAACCCTAAGTGCAAACCTAACCCTAAGTTAACCCTAACCCTAAGTTAACCCTAACCCTAAGTTAACCCTAAACCTAAGTGAAAACCTAATCCTAAGTCAACCCTAATCCAAAGTTAAACCTAACCCTAAGTTAACCCTAACCCTAAGTTAACCCTAACCCTAAGTCAACCCTAATCCAAAGTTAAACCTAACCCTAAGTTAACCCTAACCCTAAGTTAACCCTAACCCTAAGTCAACCCTAATCCAAAGTTAAACCTAACCCTAAGTTAACCCTAACCCTAAGTTAACCCTAACCCTAAGTCAACCCTAATCCAAAGTTAAACCTAACCCTAAGTTAACCCTAACCCTAAGTTAACCCTAACCCTAAGTCAACCCTAATCCAAAGTTAAACCTAACCCTAAGTTAACCCTAACCCTAAGTTAACCCTAAACCTAAGTCAACCCTAAACCTAAGTGAAAACCTAATCCTAAGTCAACCCTAATCCAAAGTTAAACCTAACCCTAAGTTAACCCTAACCCTAAGTTAACCCTAATCCTAAGTTAATCCTAACCCTAAGTTAACCCTAAGCCTAAGTTAACCCTAACCCTAAGTTATCCCTAACCCTAAGTTAACCCTAACCCTAAGTTAATCCGAACCCTAAGTCAACCCTAACCCTAAATTAATCCTAACCCAAAGTTAAACCTAACCCTAAGTTAACCCTAACCCTAAGTTAACCCTAACCCTAAGTTAACCCTAACCCTAAGTTAACCCTAACCCTAAGT